TAGAAGCCTGCCTTACGAACACTTTCAAGGATCTTATTCTGGATGAAGTTCCCACAGATACAAATTTGCTCGTTCTGTATGGTTTTACTTGTGTATAAAGCATTAGCTGAAGCTGTTTTCAAGTGAATTTCCAAAGTTTCATCCCCTCCTTGAACTTGAAACTTCAGAAGTGGCAAAAAAATTACCATGATTTGACCTTAGCAAGCCATGGCATATGGCCAGAGTCTCCATAAGTCCATAAGAATTATGGCTATAATACTAGGCGTTAATATGTTATACATCAATTTCTGCTTATTTAAGGAGATACCCATGGCGTCCAAAGGGTAATGATCATCTCGATGCCCTCGCAATCCCCAGTCTACCACAAAATATAATGGTCTCCACTACTGAACGAAGCTTAAGGCGATTCTGAGCAATACGCTCTTGTCACAACGTGTTTAGTTGCTGATCAATAGGAGAGGTTTTTGCATTGCACTCTATGAAACATTAGAGCTGTCTCTACAGCTGATTTATGAAACTGCTTTTCAAAGAAATGCTGATTCTACTTTTTGCCTTCTAAAACGGCTTACTCACAAAAACTCCCAGCTCTGGTACTTTAGGGCTACACCTTGCAAACAGGACACAGTACTTACAGTAGCCACCATTAGTTGATTCAGAATAAACAAAGCCATTGTACGTACTTAGCCATCTTCTTTGTAAATATCGCTTGCATTCATTGATGGTGTGAGATGGACAATTATATCCTGAGTGTGGCATAAAGCTGTGATCTAATACATAGAACTTCTCCTGATCAGTAAGATGTAGCTGTTCCTTGAGATTTACAATGCTCGCAAGATCACCTGACTTTACAGCCACAGATAAAGAGACTGAACATTCTGGTATAGAGTCACCAGTGTCACATTGATAGTCCCCTTCTACCAGCTCTTCACTACATTCATCAGATTCGTCTGATTCATTTACTAAGTCTCAGCAGGGAAACAATCCGACTGAGGGGGTGCTATATAGACCACTACACGAAGGTGTGGATGGCTCATGGCTTGCACAGGATACTGCAAGGCCAATTGGGCATTTCAACACACGATAGCTTCCACGATGGCTTTCCAATCTTCATTACACTTACTTGTTCTCGGACTCTGAGACCATTCAGTACTTGGTCCCACATATACAATTAGCTCGTTCGGTATGATGGTTACATCTTCAAACTGACATTCTTGCTCATGTGTAAAATAACAGCCCACGCTTTACTTACATACTATATAGAAAGAAGGAAGAGAAAGAAGTGTGAGAAGGGCTGCTGGGGCTTCACATGACATCTACAGAGATAAAACACAAACACAAACCGAGGGCTGGCAAATCAATTTATATGCACACGCGCGAGCTAGTACAGAGCGGTAGCATGATGAGACAGACAATGACATGTATGACTAAATTGAATGACAGACGATAGAAATGGTATAAAACGTATCAAAAGGATAGTAGGTAGCCGCATAATAAATATATTTTAGCATCCAAAAATAGCAGTATCACAAATGTAGAAATGTAGGGCAGTACCATTAGAGAACCAGCTAGCATGGCTTTGGCATTGTGGGTGCCCTGGCCTTGAGAACCAGGGGTGGTGGGTTAAAGACTTTGACCACCAGTGAACTCTACCCACTCACCCGAGCCTTTCTCTTGCCGGTACTGCCCAGACTCAATTCAGATACACATTCACACACCTTGCAACTTGACATGGTCTTCAGCACAGAATCACCACTGACTGACAGAAACGACAAAAACGAAGAGTTATAATTATTATAGTGAGCCCATGGAGTAAGGGCTGATGTATGTTGGACAGTGACGTTTCTGTATAACGATGGGAGGCATTCCCAAGGGTCACAAATGCCCTCAGAAATATGTCTCTTCACACAGACTCCATATTTGGTCATAAGATTAGTGTACCTTGTGTATTTAAAAAACTTTTACCACTTTATGTACAAAAATCCTTGTTTAATTAGTCTGGTAGTGATAAGTCTGGTAGTGATTCTCTGTGAAACTACTGACAATACCGCCCAAATCTAACAAGTTGCGATATATACACCGGTCCAGATGGAATATTACTCTTCAAAAAGGAAAATTTGCAATGGGAAAGTTGAAACTGTCCCTTTTATCGTATACTGTTGTGCAATATGAGACACTATCACCACTCTCAGTTGTTAACCCTCGGCGCGCATGCGCAGCGAGGGTACAGTACTTGGTCTGTCTGTCTGTCCGTCTGTCTGTTCGTCTGAAACCACATTTTCTGCCACCACGCGCAACAAACACGTAAAATAACGACACCAGCGGGTTCAGCGCTACGGTACCAGTCAGAAAAAACGCACCAAATTTACGTGGTTTCTACACACTACACTACAAAAAGTATACGCATAATAATAATAATAGACCGCGGTTTGAGAGCCAGTTTCATGCACGAAACGAGAGGCTACACCGAAGATGGTTTGTTGTCGGTGTAATCGTTCTGGGAAATGCAAGAACTGTTCTTGTGTGAAGCAGTGGCGTCCTTGCTGTGGTTGCCTCCCTGGCCGGCAGGGCGCTTGCCTCAATCTCGGGGACCCTGTCGGCTCCAACCAATGTTCAACGGGCGCCCCGTCGTCGACCGCGCTTGTCTCTGCGGCGGTTTGCACTTCCACGGACTCCCCACCAGTGCCTCTTGTGGGTGCAGTATCCCCGATACCTCTCTCCTCCTCCAGTCAACAGGCCTCTGCTTCCGCACTAACCGGAAACGGCCCTTGTGACCTTCCGCGTGTCGAGCCTGTCCTTCCCTCGGTGGATGACATTTTTCAACTGCGAATTCCGACACTTCATCACGTCCCTAAAGCAGCAAGAGTCGCCTGGGCAAGGAGGCGGTCCGGGCTATCTGCTCTGAACCTACCAGCGAAGTGGTGTGGGTGAAGTTCTTCATGCTACCAAGTGCATTCTGGCCAATCCCCCAAGAGGTGGCCGCCGACACATGGCGTGACACAAAAAAATGTATCCAGGCTCGGATCGCTGCTTGGAGGGCGGGAGAGTGTGTGAGGTTGTGGGAACGACGCAGTGGATGCAACCACTCTTTGGAGCGACGGTCTCGGAAGCGTCTTTCCAACACCCCCCCTTCTGCTGAATCTACCCGTTCTACCAACACCAGACGTGCCCGACGAGCCGTTGAGAATGGTCAATATAAGAAAGCTTTATCTTCCGCAGGTTTTGCTGTCCTCCATCGAGGATGTGCTGGACGAGATGTTGGCCAAGCACCCTCAGTCGGGGGCGTCCCTTTCCTTTGACGAAGCCCCGCCTCCTGTTCAGTGGCCACTGTAGATGTGGTCAATGCACTTCGATCCTTTCCTTCTGGTACTGCCCCTGGTCCATCTTGTCTCAGAGCTAACCACGTGAAGGAAGCTGTGTTCTGCTCCTCTCCTGGAGTGCTGGATCCGCTCTGAAGGGCTGGTGTGGTGTGGTTAATCTCCTCTGTGCTGGCCGTGCACCACCGCAATCTGCCGACCTCTGTGTTGTGCTACCCTCCTGGCCTGCAATAGAAGAACGGAGGTGTCCGCCCGATTGCTGTGGGCGAAGTCCTGCGTCGTTTAACATCCAAGTGTGTGTCTCGTGCGGTACATACCGACGCCATTGAGGTTCTGTCCCCTCTCCAAGTGGGAGTGGGGATTCCAGTTGGGTGTGAGAGTATCGTTCACTCTGTGGTGAGCCTTCAGCAGGATGTTTCAATTCCACCTGAATCGCGTTGCGCACTCCTAGTTGATTTCTCCAATGCCTTCAACTCAGTCAACCGTGCGTGTATGTTCCAGGAGGTGCGGTCTCGGATTCCTTCCATGGCTGCGTGGGTAGAAAGCTGCTACGGTTCCCAACCACTTTTGTATTTTGGAGACCACAGGCTCTTCAGCTGTTGCGGAGTTCAACAAGGAGATCCTTTGGGTCCCCTATGTTTTGCTCTCACTCTCCACCCGATTGTTGAGCAGATCAAGAGGGAAGTTCCGGAGCTGCTTATTAACGCATGGTACCTTGATGATGGCACCCTCTGTGGTTCCCTCAGTGACATTGGTTCTGCTCTCGCCATAATTGAGTCAGCAGGACCATCACGAGGCCTCATCCTCAACAAGAGTAAATCTCTTCTCTTTGTTCCTGCTGATGCTTCCCCCTCTAATCATCAGTGCTGTACCTCCTGAGGTCCCAATTTGCAGTGGTGGTTTTGAGCTCCTGGGCTCTCCGATTGGCCCATCATCCTACTGTGAGTCTTCTGTCCTGAAGAGAGTCAATAAGATCCAAGAGGCTCTGATCAACCTACGAGACCTCCATGACTCGCAGATGGAAGCCATTCTCTTGCGTTCCTGTCTCTCCTTGCCAAAATTGCCTCATTCGACCCGCACTGGAAACTTTCGACGATACGATTAGGGAGGCTTTATCTGACCAGGCGGGGTGTCCCCTCCCAGACTGGTCATGGCTGAAGGCTTCCCTCCCGAGCAGCCTGGGAGGCTTGAATCTTCGCCGGGCAGCACTACATGCTCCAGCCGCCTACATTAGTTCGCTGCATCAGTCCGAGCCTCTCATCTCTGATATTCTCGGCCATTCACCATCACCTCCTGCTTTGCTTCCCTCCTGCATCAGGGCCCTCGGTATGGCAGCCTCGATGCCAGATTGGTCCTCTCCGCAGAAGATTGATGTTCCTCTACGTCAACGTACTCTCTCCCGTCTCATCGATGAAGCCTCCTTCGATGTTCTCATCGAGTCCTCCCCCGGTGTTCGTTCAAAGGCCTTGGCTCTCTCTTCGGCCCTCCCACATGCTGGGGATTGGCTCAATGTTGTTCCTTCTTCTGCTCTTGGCCTTCATCTCCTGGACCAAGAGTTTCGCCCCTGTCTTCAATATTGGCTGGGGCTACCCAATTTTTGTGGAGGGGGTAAGGTGCCCTGTCTGCCGGAGCGTTGCTGACCCCTTCGGCGATCACCATGTAGGTTGTGGGGGTAATGGGGATCGTATCCATCGTCACAACTCTATCCGGGATGCAATATTTTCAGCAGCACAGACAGCTGCTTTAGCGCCCCGGAAGGAGTTGCCATCTCTCGTGCCCTGCTCCCAATCTCGCCCTGCTGACATTTTCCTCCCTAACTGGGAAAGAGGTCGTCCAGCCGCACTTGACGTCTCCGTCATTTCCACTCTGCAACAGCTTACTTTGAATGGTGCAGCCAGTGTCCAAGGGCACGCATTGAGAGTAGGAGAAGAGAGGAAGATGGCCCTTCACGCAGCCTCATGCCGGGCTGTGGGAGTGTCGTTTGTCCCTCTCCTGGTCGAGTCTCTCGGAGGCTGGAGTGATCTCGCTGCCAAAACCCTCCAGTATCGGTCGGCTCCTAGGGCAGCGGCTGGGCTTACCTCCCTCCGAAACCACCCGTCACCTCTTCCAACGGTGCGCTATTTGCCTCTGGAGAGGAAATGCAACTCTGTGGCTTCACCGTTGCCCAATGCCTCCCCCGCACATTGACAGTATTATTTAGCGTTTTTCTTTGTTGTTTTTGTTGTTGTTGTTTTGTTGTTGTTGTATTTTGTCTATTTGTTTGTTTGTTCTTTGTTTTTGCTTTTTTTTTGCTTGTCTATTGTATCGTTTACTTCTCAAAAAGGATTATACTCTGATCTACACATGTAGTCCAATGTTTTGCGTATTATAATACTGATACTACTGACGCCTGGGAGAGCGCAGTTTACTACGGCTACACGCAGCGGTCAGTCACCCACTGAGTTCTGTAAACCAAAGCGGTCAGTCACCCTGAGATCGACGCCATGGGAGCTCCGAAGTTTTTTTTATAAGCGTACCCACCGGGTCATCAGCCCCGCAGTTTCTTGGAGAGCGAGTCAGTGCAGTCACCAAGCGGGATAATGTCAGACGTGCGTACGACGAGCGAAGACGACCACGCGAGCGAGACTGCGACCGAGCGAGCGGCACAACTGGCAGAGACCGCCGCGGACAACGAACAGGTGGACGCGCAAGGTCAAGTGGCGACGGACGGAGGCCTTGAAGTAGATCAGACAGCGGCGGCCGAGGGCTCAACCGACGGTTTCTCACGGACTGTCGAACAAGGGGGCGGGGCAGTACATGTAGCAGAACCGACTGCTGCGCGAGTGGTGGAACGTCTAAGAATTAGATGGGGGTGCAACAACTCCAAAAAATACGACGGGAAGGTGGAGGATGTCCCAGCTCAGTGGGTGATCGATGGGAGTTTGGCTGACAGTGAACATCGGGAGAGGAAAAACCTGGGCTGGGACAGTGACGGAGATATTATACCAGCAAAATCCTCTGGATTGGGCTCTCCCCATTAAGCGGAGCAGACATCAATCACCGGTAAGCACATAATTTCAGTTCAGCATGTGGAATGTTGTCATTGCCTTTGTATCAAATGTTTCTGCCTCCGTTTCTGCAGCACTGCCACCAGCCCGGCCCATCACCTCCTGCTGCTAATTTTGTTGCTGACCAGAAACTGTGCAAACCTGTAAATCACACCTTTTTCTCTTTTCAACCATTACATTGCCATCTTTGCAGAGGAAAAAAAGGAAGGGAAAAGAGAGAGCTGAACAAGATAGTGAGTGTGATAATGGAGAAAAACCCTGCAAGAAGTTGAAGCATGTAAGTTGCTGTATAGTAGCACTGCTTACTGCTTTTTCACATTTATTCCTCTGCAAAGGAGAAACTGGAAAAAGGGAGAGGTGGAAGAAAGGGAAAAGAGAGTGGCAAGCTATTGAAGGTTCACGAGAAAGGTAACAGAAAAATAGTACTATCACAATTCAGTCAACTTGATAAACTTCATGTCTACTATTATTGCCTTAGGAGAGCCAATCACAGACACGAGCCCTACTAAACTACCAACCAGGAAGGCGGATACATGTAAGTAAAGCATGCACTGAGCCACCTTTAGTTTACTCACTGCTCAAACACTTCAGTGTGTGAAGATAAAACTTTGGAAACTGCATCCAAAGGTGGCAGGTGCAGCTGGTTGAAAATGTCACTCAAAATCTTCATCAGATGACTAAAGCTATTCATGAAGGGTTTGAGAAGTTATGCAGCTTCTTTCCACCAGCTTCTACATCAATCATACCGGCCCCACCAGCTCCCACATCAATCGTACCGGCCCCACCAGCTCCCACATCAATCGTATTGGCCCCACCAGGGTCCCGGGGAGACGGCCCCCCAAAGGGGGGCATGACAACACTCCCGACCACTCCCAGTGGGACTGGACTGCAGAGAAAGAGGCTCCTGACCTCACTGTCTCCTTGTCCTTGAGAGGTGCAAGGTCTTTGAGGCAGGAGTAGCCATGCACACAAACACCAGACAATAACTAATACAGTTTGGCTCAATAAAAGACCAGTAAACTGTAGATGAATAAACTACTTGTAGAAACCTCCAAATACTCACTGCGGGAACCTAAAATAGAGGCCCACAGACTCACTGGGGAACCTAGAACCCAGGTCTACTAACTCCACTGGGGAACCTAGAAAACCCAGGTCCGCTAATCCACTGGGGAACCTATAGAACTCAGGCCCACACACTCACTGGGGAACCTAGAACTCAGGCCCACACACTTACTGGGGAACCTACAACTCAGGCCCACACACTGACTGGGGAACCTAGAACTCAGGCCCACACACTTACTGGGGAACCTAGAACTCAGGCCCACACACTGACTGGGGAACCTAGAACTCAGGCCCACACATTCACTGGGGAACCTAGAACCTAGGCCCACTAAACCACGGGGGAACCTAGAACTCAGGCCCACACACTTACTGGGGAACCTAAAACTCAGGCCCACACACTTACTGGGGAACCTAGAACCCAGGTCTACTAACTCCACTGGGGAACCTAGAACCCAGGTCCGCTAATTAATCTGCTGGGGAACCTAGAACCCAGGCACTAATTAATCCACTGGGGAACCTAGAACCCAGGTCTGCTAATCCACTGGGGAACCTAGAACCCAGGTCTGCTAATCCACTGGGGAACCTAGAACCCAGGTCTGCTAATCCACTGGGGAACCTAGAACCCAGGTCTGCTAATCACTGGGGAACCTAGAACCCAGGTCCGCTAATCCACTGGGGAACCTAGAACCCAGGTCTGCTAATCCACTGGGGAACCTAGAACCCAGGTCCGCTAATCCACTGGGGAACCTAGAACCCAGGTCTGCTAATCACTGGGGAACCTAGAACCCAGGTCTGCTAATCCACTGGGGAACCTAGAACCCAGGTCTGCTAATCACTGGGGAACCTAGAACCCAGGTCCGCTAATCCACTGGGGAACCTAGAACCCAGGTCCGCTAATCCACTGGGGAACCTAGAACCCAGGTCCGCTAATTAATCTGCAGGAGAACCTAGAACCCAGGCACTAATTAATCCACTGGGGACCTAGAACCCAGGTCTGCTAATCCACTGGGGAACCTAGAACCCAGGTCCGCTAATCCACTGGGGGACCTAGAACACAGGTCCGCTAATCCACTGGGGAACCTAGAACCCAGGTCTGCTAATCCACTGGGGAACCTAGAACCCAGGTCCGCTAATCCACTGGGGAACCTAGAACCCAGGTCCGCTAATCACTGGGGAACCTAGAACCCTGGCCCACATGTTAACTGAATCCATGCAAGAATAGTGATTGCATATTTCTTACATCCCACACTTCAGGTGGCTGTAGAGTGGCTCCCTTCAAAGCATTTGATACAATAGTAGATCGCTGCTCCACACTGCACACACCTACACGCTGCTGCTTCAGAACACATGCAGCATTTCTTCCCCAATGGCATTGCAAACGACTCAGTGATGGCACGCAGAAGTTCGGAACGTATGTTCTTCCAGCTCGTCGCATTTGCAGCTTCATTTATCTCGTGTAGAGTGGGAGATGGTTCCCGCACAACATCATGATCATGATACACATCAGAGAAAACGACAGCATGATCTTCATCACGAACTTCATCATGACGCATTTCACTGCCGGAAGGAGCCTCACTCGCTTCTTCCTCTGCAGAAATAGCCACACCACCTCCACCTCGCCTGCCTCTAGGGACTATTATCTTAGTAGCAGGGCTACTCGTACTTCTCTGGGTGACTTTTAATCTTGGCAATCGAACTTTCATTCGCCATGCCATCGCAGAATCTTTTAGCAGGCACGCGATAGGTACAAAAGGGTTATAGCGAAAACCACGGCCCAGTGGGCCACGCGCGCAAAGTTCAATGATTTACCCACTTCCGACTGGAAGAAAGTTTCAGGATCGGGTGCTCGTGTGTGGTAGCCACAGCTAGCTTTCCTGCTAAAGGGCCTGCTTTATCGTCCGCGAAGGAACTGTAGCCTGTACACATTCAGGACCGAGCAATTCTAGATTGAAAGCACTCCGTACCAGGGCACGAGGTGTCGTAAGAACTTTACTGCGAAGGTGACCGGGGCTATGTTGCAACGCGCATTGACTCGAAACGAAACCTGTGTTCAACTTTGACCGTTGCATGCATGCATGCATGCGAGTGTGGGGCTCTATGGCGACTATATACTCACCTCCTCGCCCTCGCTGCGGCTTCCACTACCTCCCCCGCATTGAGGTGCTACTCCCCGCCGCCTGTATCATCTCGGGCAGCCCCTCACTTCAGTCGCTTCTGCATCGGAGAGAAGGAGAAGGTACGATGTGTCTGTGGGGTTAGTAGTGCTACTGGTAAACCGTTAGTGCAGTGTCTGCCGTGTAGTCTCTGGTCTCATGTCCAGTGCGCCCGTCGCACAGCTAAACGCTCCCAGTTCTCCTGCCACGTTTGCCGTGCAGTTCCCTCCAGAAGGAAGAAAGGCTTCGACCAGACCAGGAGCTTGGCAGTGCGTATTCCTAGGCACATTCTACCATCACCACCCTCATCTGCACTAGGGTCCACCTCAACGGTCTCTGACCCCCATACTCACCCCAGCATCTCTAACAGCCATCCACCACCTATCCCTCCAGCTACACAATCTCCATATGCCTCTATATCTGTGCAATCTGCAAATCCCCAAGCTTCTCCCTTCTGTCTAGACAACCCTAGCCAATGCAGCATGAGTTATCACTCTCACTCTCCCCACTCCCCTCCTGAGGGTACAGCGAGGTCAGATACAATCTTCAGCCCCCCAATCTCTATTTCGCTGGTGCCCAATATCAATACCACTGCTTATCCCCAACCAAACAATCCTGCCACCGCTCCCTATACTATGACCTCTTCCTCCCCTAAACTGACTCAGGATTACTCCCAGACAGGTGGCAGCTCACAGGAAACTCGTTTCTCCTCTTCCTCTCCGCCCGACGCCTGCAACGCATCCTATACGGCGGATCCTTCGTCCTTGGATGCAACCCTCACCCCAAGCTATTCTTCCCCACGTCTCCATCACCCACCACCTCTTGGAGTCACTTTATCTACAAGCACCAGCTTTCCACAAACTCCCAGACACATCAATGCCAAACCTCCTTGCTGAGGTCCCTCCTCACCCTGACCACCCCTTCTACCTGCAGGCCAACCCCTCCTGCTCCACAGTATGGCCACTCTGCTGGTGGCAGTACATCCCCAGTCATTGCGGTCAATTACCCCATTACTCACCCGAGAACCACCCCCCTGCCCCATCATTCATCATCTGGACATCCTCTATGTTGAATTCAGAATTAGGCATATTATATGCTTTAGCTCGCAGATCAGGATGTGTGGGAGAGCAGTAGTGCTAGTGTCGTACCCTAGCCGCGATTCCATGCATTTCTGGTCTGTCCCCTTTTCTTTTTTCTTTCTTTTTCTGTCAGATTATAGTGTCTTAGCCTTCGCGTCGTTCAGTAGGGGGCAGCCACCAGCCTGGCATACCAAGGTGGTGGACGATAACCTGCGTCCCTTAAAGTCAGGTTCAACCTGTTTGTGTGTCCCAGTTTGTGCCCATGATGCTGTGTCCTCAAAGCCTACTACTCTGGGAAGGGATGCAGCTGATTTAAATGCACACACTACTTGTGGTTGTGTAGTGAGTGTCTGTGGTTCTTTACGTTGTAAGACATGTAAGCATATTTCTCAAGGTAGTACTTTTATTAGCAATGTGACCAAAAAATCATATGATGTTGTTAACCCTAATAATATATCAATGGATTGTACTTCTGACAATGTCATATATTTGATAACATGCAAGAAATGTGGGATTCAGTATGTCGGTGAAACAAGCCAGAAATTAAGAAGTAGGTTTAACAATTATAGGAATAGATTGAAGAAGTTGACCAACCTTTATTTGTACCATCATTTCAGTTCAGGCGGACATTCAGTAGAAGACATGAGCATTATGCCCATTGAAGAATTACCATCTAATGATAGGGTTAGTGCTACGTCTCAAAGACTTGAAAGAGAGGATTACTGGTGTAGGGAACTTTGTACTTACTATCCGTATGGCCTGAATGATAATATTCGTGGTGTTGGTAATATATCAAAACAGCATGGATTAGTGGTGTATACATTGTTTAATAGGAGACAAAGAAAGTTTAGAAAACGAAATAGCCGCAAACGTAGAAGAAAAATAGATTTTGATGATTTAACTTCGCGCCTTGAGGATTGCTTGCGTGGTTATAAGTCTCATGTTTTTATGTTTAATGTCAGGAGTTTAATCCTTAGCTTACCTAAGAAGTGTATGGTAGCTATATGGACTAGCTTTCAAGCTTGGACTTCGGAGCACGAAATACCTGATCGCGTTGTAGTTTTAATGAAGGATATGATAGCGTTCAAGAAGAGAGCCTCACCTATAGAGACTAACGATGTAGACAAACCATCTAAAGGTGCTTCAGGATTTATGAACATATGCTATAATAATAAGGGCATTGAAATGGTTAATCTTCCTAAAATATTGAATGGTAGGTATGTTAGAGATGCAGTGCCCCAGTTTTTTAACAACTCCTCCCACTATTAGCTCCCACTATTAGCTATAAATATACAAAGACAATAGCTGGGAGGATATTTAATCAAAAGAAGGTAGTGGAAGAATTGGAGGTTGATAGCGGAACTAAGGATATGTACTGTGACTGTAGTAAAAGTAAATACTGCTATGAGCCTTCAGGACATGTAATAACGGGAGACTTAACGATAGTAAGAGATGCTAAACTTAGAGGCCTGATAGAGAAGGGACCATCGTTCAGGGAACAGAACTGCATTAACTGGAGTATTAATGAGAGCTTGTGTAAAGAGGCAGTAGCTAAGTATAAACGTAAATGGTCGCGGAAGGAAAGAGTCGACATAAGAGCATTAAACGAATGGGAATGCAAGGTCAATGAATGCATTGAAAAGAGGATAAGGTCACTTAAGAGTAGACACATAAATAGAAGAAGTATGCATATTCTTCGAAGTAGAAAGCATTTAGGGTCTCTCCAGGAACTTCATAGTAAGTATGTATTAGTACCAGCTGATAAGGCATCTAACAATGTGATAGTAGTGTGCAAGAAAAATTACTTAGAGAGATTGTGTTAAGGGAAATCAGTGCGACTACAACGTATAAGCGTGCTGCAACGGATTGTGACAAACTAGTGGATGAGCATTTGAAGTTTATGACAGCCAATCGGATAGTAGTACAGCCTGAATGTGAATGCTTACCCTGTTCTATTGGCTTCCAAAGTTACACAAAAAGCCTTATGGTTCTAGGTTTATAGCTGCTTCACATAGGTGCACTACAAAGCCTTTATCTAAGTTACTTACTAGTTTCCTTAAATTAATTACCAACCATTTTTGACAATACTGTAATGGCATTTTTTGTAGAACTGGAGTTAATTGTTTTTGGATTATAGATAACTCACAGCAAGTTCTTTCAACCTTAAATAAAATGAATTATTTTTCTACCGCTAAACATTTAGATAGTTATGATATTTCAACGTTATAGACGAGTATTCCTCATTGTTTGCTCAAACAAGCCTTGCAATCTTTAATCAAGGAGGCCTGCAAAGTGAGAGACAGTGTGTTCCTTATAGCCGACCATGCTGGAAGAGCATATTGGCCAAACACACCATCATCATTGTCATCGAAACATAACATAAGTGAAGAACAGCTTGTTGCGTATGTGGAATATCTTATTGATAATATTTATGTTAGTATAGGCGATAGAGTGTACAGACAATGTGTGGGGATTCCGATGGGCACAGTTTGTGCGCCATTAGTAGCAAATTTGTTTCTCTTCTATTATTATCAGTATGTAAGGGGTCTAATTAAAACAAATTTGGTGTTGGCTAAAAAATTCAATAATACAATGAGATACATTAACACTAAATAATACTGCGTTTGATTCAGCGATAAGTGACATATACCCCTGCGAGCTACAACTGAAGAAACCTACGGAGTGTGAAATAAAACTGTCATACTTAGATATACTGGTAACTATAGAAAATGGGAAATATTTAACAGCATTATGACAAGCGAGACAATTTCAATTTTAACATCGTCAATTTTCCACATCTTTCTTCTAACATTCCATCTGGACCTGCATATGGAGTTTATGTTTCCCAGCTTGTACGTATAGGTAGAATATGCAGTAACTATACTGATTATGCGGTGAGGCACTACAAACTTACTCAAAGACTTGTTCGCCAAGGATTCAGGTACTCAACGTTGTGTGTAGTTTTTCGACGGTTTGCGAAGAAACATGTGTGGTTTGCAGACAAATATGGTTGTAGCGTAAGCAGACATATTGAAGATGGCGTATGTTTACCAGCAATGGATCCGTTCCAGAGTCGCCATGTCTCACGCAGATCTATTTAAACAATGTTTTTTAAATTTTACTCACGCAGATAAACGATGTTTTTTAAATTTTACAACGCGTGCATACAACTGTGCACTAAATAGCAAAGCCGCTCTGGTGCTCATGAGCCTGGTCTGCACGGTTCTCTCTTTCCAGATTTTATATATATTATTTCTATTGCTGTACACGGTGGCGTTCAGTGTGTTAATAGGTTTTCTCAGCTAGCTGATAGTGTGGATGAGTGTGCAGCTGGTGTGCCTGAAGGCAGTGAAGTGAATCTTTCAGTTGTTAGTGAGAGGATGAGTGGCCAAGGTAAAAAGGACAGAAGGCTAAGAGTCGCTACGTGGAATTTTTCAGGCCTTTGTAGTGAGCGTAAACAGAGAGAGGTAGGGGAGCTTTTGCAAAGGCTCAAGATTGATGTAGTAGCTGGTCAGGAATCTTGGGAGAGGGAGGGAAAGGCAGTTGCGGTTGATGGCTATAGATGGTTTGGAAAGCCTCGTGAGAATCAGAGTAGTCGTAGAGGGGAAGGAGGGGTTGGGTTCTTGGTTCGGGAGTGCTTGATAGACGAGGTAGAGTTTGTAAGTAAAGTCAGGTATAAGGAGAGCGTGTGGATGAAGGTTCGAGGTGGGAGAGGGAGGGAAGCATTGTATGTGTGCTGCATTTACATGCCTACAGATAATGCTTGTGCTTCTGTTATGGAGGATAGTTACATCAAGTTTAAGGAGGATGTGCTTGGATTCATGCAGAAGGGGAGGGTTGTTCTTCTTGGTGATTTTAATGCGAGGGTGGGTAGATCTACTGATGTTGATGATGTCATTGGGATGTTTGGGGAGGAGACTTGTAAT